GCCTAGGTGGAGTAGTCGAACACAGATCCACTGATCCTTCAACACAGAGCATCTTCAGAAGTTGATAAAATTACTTTTAAATATCGGTATTGTTCGATACACGTGTGTATTGAACCTAAAGCATTGTTCGATACGGTTCAATATGGGTACATGTATTGTTGCACCCCTGCAGACACAGATTATTTATTTAAAACATTTTTGCTGCTGAAAGAATCAAACATTTCCCAGATTTAGTTTTTCTTTTTTTGAACAACATGAGCTCAGCTGCAACTGAAACTTTAAATTCTGCCCCATTCAACCAAACCAACCTTTTTATGTCTGTGCATCATTAAATTTAAACTAGTTTCTGTTCAGCAAACAGGATTTCTGTCTAAAACCACGCAGCCTGTTTTCATGCATTACCTGGAGAAACGCTGCTCCTGCTCCTGCTCCTGCTCCTGCTCCTGTAGCTGCAGGTGCAGAGGAGGATGAGGAGGCAGAGGAGGCAGAGGAGGAAGGTGTAGCCCTGTACAGAACTTGCAGTTGCTTCTGCAGCTGGATCAGAGTCTGGGCGCTCCCTCAGTCCTCAGCATGGTGGCAGCTGTCGTGTGGCCGCTCCATCACAACAGAGCAGCCAGAAAAATACTTTCAGGACTGACGAAGAAGAAATACGGTCCTGAGAGTTTGACGCTCCGCTTACACAGATGAATAAAACAGGAGGAGGAAAGCCTGCACACAGCTGTCCTGCTGTCTTTATTTAAGAGTCCGATGTCTGTCCTTCATCCAGACCTTCACCTGCTGTCATGTACACACACTGAGACCCCAAACCTGATAGTGACACACATTCCTGCTGCCAGCCAGGTTAATCATTGTCTCATCTGTCATCTCTCCAAAACCTACTTTGGTTCAAACCAGCTCAGAATCCTGCAAGAAAAACACATTGTCAGGACATCTGTTTTAGTAGGTAAGTAATAAGTACAGACATGCATATGTAAGTAATAAGTACATACATGCATATGTGAGTAATTACGTACATACATGCATATGTAAGTAATTAAGTACAAACATGCATATGTAAGTAAGTAAGTATGTAGTTAAGTATATAAGTAAGTAAGTAAGAAAATAAGTACATAAGTTAGGAAATAGGTAACCTAAGTAAATACATAATAAGGAAAGTACATAAGTATGTAAGTAAGAAAGTATTTAAATATGTAAGTAAGTAGGTATTTAAGTAAGTAAGTACATACATGCATATGTAAGTAAGTAAGTATGTAGTTAAGTATATAAGTAAGTACATAGTTAAGTATGTAAGTAAGTAAGAAAGTAAGTACATAAGTTAGGAAATAGGTAACCTAAGTAAATACATAATACGGGAAGTACATAAGTATGTAAGTAGGAAAGTATTTAAATAAGTATGTAAGTAAGTAGGTACTTACGTAAGTAAGTAAGTATGTAAGAATGTAGGTAAGTATATAAGTAAGTACATAATTAAGTAAGTACGTAAGTAAATATGTAAGTATGTAAGCAAGAACATACACAAGTAAGTAAATATGTACATTCATAAGTAAGTACGTAGGTAAGTATGTAAGTAAGTAAGTAAATACACAAGTAAGTAAGAAAGAATGTAGGTAAGTATGTAAGTAAGTAAGAAAGTAAGTACATAAGTTAGGAAATAGGTAGCCTAAGTAATTACAAAATAAGGTAAGTACATAAGTATGTACGTGAGAAAGTATTTAAATAAGTATGTAAGTAAGTAGGTACTTACGTAAGTAAGTAAGTATGTAAGAATGTAGGTAAGTATGTAAGTAAGTACATAATTAATTAGTACGTAAGTAAATATGTAGTATGTAAGCAAGAACATACGCAAGTAAGTATGTACATACATAAGTAAGTACGTAGGTAAGTATGTAAGTAAGTAAGAAAGTAAGTAAATACACAAGTAAGTAAGTAAGAATGTAGGTAAGTATGTAAGAAAGTATGTGTATAAGTAAGTAAGTACATACATAAGTAAGCAAGTACGTAGGTAGGTAAGTATGTAAGTAAGTAAGTACGTAGGTAAGTATATAAGCAAGTAAGTAAGTAAGTAAGTAAGTAAGTAAGTAAGTAAGCAAATACATAAGTATGTAAGTACATAGGTAAGTATGTAAGTAAATAAGTAAATACACAAGTAATTAAGTAAGAATGTAGGTAAGTATGCAAGTAAGTATGTGCAAATGTAAGTAAGCAAATACATTAGTAAGTATGTAAGTAAGTAAATACATAAAAAAATGTAAGTAAGTACATATGCAAGTAAGTAAGTAAACTTTATTTGTGTAGCACCTTTCACCGACACARACATCACAAAGTGATTATCGGKGAGCAAAACAACTAAAAACAGTAAAAACAAGTCACAAATGAAGAACAATACAAACAGTAAACAAAACGTAACTAAAAGTCTGTCTGAATAAAAATGTCTTAAGATGTTTCCTAAAGACATCAGTGGAATCTGAGCTTCGAAGGGACAGACGGACAGTTTACGTCGTTAATAAGAATATTTATATTTTAACACATTGTCTTGTTTCTTCAAGAAAAGGGATGATAAATAAAACAGTTGTGTTAATGGATCCCCCAGAGGGTCTAAAGATTGATTGGAGCCATTTTAAACAGTTTTTAATGAACTTTTCCTTCTTGTTGTTTAGTTTCACACAGAGGGACACAGTTCATGTGTTGATGCTGGGTTCAGAGACCCGTTAACGTGAGTCAATAACGTTCCTGACATCTGGACCAACAGTAAACATCATGATCGACCTGTTAATGTGTTCCCAGCAGTTTAAACTCACATTATTGGCTGACATTACTCTCTCTCTCTCTCTCACACACGCTCTTATCCACATCTGAGCAGATTCAGTCAGTGATTATCATCATCATCATCATCATTTCTTCTGATCAGTAATAAATGCATCACATAATGTACGTGGAAAACTTTTTCAAAAGTTTAGGAGCATAAATCTGATGACACAGAAAATGAAAGAATATTTGACAAAGTAAAAGTTAATTAAAAAATAAGAGTTTTGCTCAGGAACAATCTGATGGTGATGCTGAAAATGATTGACAGCCTGAAGCTTTGGATATTACCACTCCTCAAGACAAGTCACCACCCAAACTGAGGATATTTTTTGGCTTTTGACATATATTGAATGAAAAGAGGGTGCAGCTTGAACCTGAAATAATAAGAATACAACAAGATGCCAACATAAAACATTAAATATAAGTATAAACCAGAATAACCAGTGGTAGAGATGCAGGAGGGGGAAATAATCCCTTTTATGCTAAATTAGCTGCATTTTAAAGTATTCACACTGCAAAAACTCTCAATCTAACCAGGTTTTAAAATCTTATGTCCAGCCAAAAAAATTAGCATTAACAATCACAACATTGATTTTTATTTTTTATGTTATTTTTGCACAAACAAAGGTCTGTGACTCATGATCTCAGGTTGTAGCTTAGCTTAGAGGTGAGGTTGTGACATCGTTGTTTTTTACATTAAAACACCAAGATTACTGTTTAAAACTTTTTAACTCAAGGTTCTCTCTGCAGAACAGCTCTCTAGTTAAAAAAAAAACAAGGTCTGAAATACATAAATAAATTTGCGACACGTACCACCCCCTGGATATATTTTCTTCAGTTTGGCACCTCTGAAGCTCCGTACATAAACACACTTCAGGCTGCAGTAATATGCTGTGAATTTATAGCTCAGTTCAGCTGACATAAAACTTGGCAGCCAGCTGGGTTTAATCAATTAAAACTATAAGTGTTGGCCTGTCAGCCTCAAGACTGCTGACACTGATTAAAATTAAAAATAAATAAATAATCCCCAAAATTAATACGTACCATAGAATATCCCAAAGTGACAGAATCTATTGCTCATCGAAACTCTTCATCCCTCCCAGCAAAGTGTTGCTCTCACTTTTACTGTTTGCTGCTGATTCAGTCCCAAAACTCGAGCCTTCGGCTTCGGCGCCGTCCAAACGGACCTCACATGGCCGCAGCATCATAATGGGATTAGGGGGTGTAATCCACTCACTTCCTCTCCAAAGCAGACTGAGAGGGCCACGTCCACACGCCCTGAAACACTGAGCCATTATTAAAAAGCACAGAGAGGCATTATCTGGACACGCTGCATATTAAACAGCCTGCTCAGGTCAGCTTGTGACCCTTTGTTGTCATGTTGAAACAGCCTGGTGGTCCGCTGCCGCTGAATCAAAGAACAAAAAACTTCAACACTTCTCGTGTCAGAACCCAAAAACAGCACTTTGGTGAGGTGAAYATGGACAATTAACACACATTGTAACAGTAGAAATGTTTATTCAACCTCTCTTTCAATTAGACGAAGTCTAAATATCMCTTTAACATGCGCATAAATTTTATATATGGTGTTTTGAAACAACCTGACTGCAGAACCTGACCTGAACACAGTTTGTTGTCAGGATTGTGCAGCAYGTTGGGGTCAAAGTTCAACTGTTACCCAGCAGTATGTCAAAGGWAACACAATAAAAGATCAGTGTAATGATCTTGTTCCCATAAATTCTCATTATTTGTACTTATATTCATCTCCTGACCATTGAACCTGTCAGCAGAAATCAACTTTCATTTCAATCTGGACTTTTTTTAAAGTGTTTGATGATTTCCCTGACCTGTAGTGACCTCTAGTGGTCATAATGAGAAACTGCACAGGAAAACATTTGGCTGCAGAAAAAAATAGTGTTCAGGTTTGCGAGCTTTTTAAATTTATTTTTGCTAAAACAATTTTCACAGCTCATGTTTTATTTAATGACACATTTCCTACGGTGCTTGTGGACAATGCCGCTGTCAKTTTTTAAGACTGGATTGATTGTTAAACAGTTGATCTCTGAGCTGCAGCACCTTTTTATTCAATGAGCTTCACAGAAAACACTGAGGACACTTGTTGCAGTCTGTAAACGAGAAATACTTTTTTAGATTTAATATTGTCCTTTTAGTTCACAGAGCATCCTTCAGATGTGTTTAATAAAACAATATGACCTGTGCAACTTTATGATTAKAAATGTTTGTTCACATATACAAACCTCTCCGAAAGCCTTAAACTGTCTTTTAATATACTTTATTTCCCCAATTTTTTATATTTTATTTAACTACTGCAGCAGTCTCATATTGTTGAAAATAATAAGTGTCACAGTTTATATGAAAACATTGTTTAATAATTTTTCGAATCATATAATTTATTATCTCTTAGAGAATGTTGCGTCTGATGTAGGCCCATTTGCTTAGATTTTTTTTACATTTTCCTCGCATTTTAATTTTTATTCTTATTTCAGTTCTTATATGCCAACTGTAGTACTCATGACTTTTTTCAAGTCTATTTTGGATAGATTTATATTAATTTCCCTTTTCTTAAATCATTAAGACACTTTTTTAAAATGTAGTTTAATGTGATTTGATTAATTATTTGGGTACAGTGGTTAGGATTTTTGCAAAAATAAATTATAACCCAAATTATCATGAAAAAAATGCTCATTTGGTGTGAATTGAAAGGAACATCATAAATCATGGTTAAAGCAGCAGCAGAGGTCTCTGTTTCGCGGTAAAAGTTCTTAAATTGACCACACCCACCAGCAACAAAACCGACCAATCAGAGTGTTGTAAAATYGTCGCGCTGGATCCATCAACCAATCATAACGTTTAACCCCGCCTTCCTGTGATTCTAAATCTCTCATGGGGTTCACGTGCGAACTAGCTAAATGTGTCAAACATAGAAAAACATAAAAAGCGGACTTCAAACATACAAAATTCATTTATATTTATTGTTTCATTTAATGTTTTATATACAATATAGGGGATTATTTAATAGCATGAAAGAGAAGCGTCAGATGTATGAATATATTGTTGTTTTTGTAGATTTTATTTCAGGCGGAGTAAAAAAGTAGTTCCATTGGGAGTTGGACTGAGTCGCATGTTTTGGGTAATTTYCCCTTGTTTTAGGCGTGAGAACGTCACCAGAAAAGGAGCCAGACTGTAGTAGTCTAGCCTCACATTCCCCCCCTCCCACCTCGGGAGGCTCCGCTTTCCCAGCCCCTTTGTTCGCCCCGGCCGGTGGGCTGAGTCAGAGCGGAGCGGGAGGCTGGCTGAGCTGCAGCCCGAAGAACCGCACGCAACGTGGACGCTGGAGGCGAGGAGAGGCCGACGGAGGAAACGAGAATCATCCGGGCGGGAGAGGGGGAAAGTTGAGCCCGTCGGAGCTAACAACCTCGGTTCTCCCCGCTCCGCTTTAGCCGCCTCAGCTAACCACCCCGGGGGAAAGGAACCGGCAGGCTAACAGCTAACTCAGCACCGGGTTTGTTGGCATCATCCTCTGATCCACGCTGACTCCCTTTCAGTTTCTGCTCAGCATCCATGTTTGCATCCCTCCCTGGGAGTGGCAGCCACTAATCCACCCCCCGGGTACAGGCCCTCTCGGACCCCCCCTCGGACGTGGTATTTTCCCACAAAAAATGTGAGTATTTTCCATTATTTTATATATTTTCATTTTAAATCAAGAGGGGCGTTTTGGGTGTATTGTTGCCGCAGGAGCGACAACAATAGATCAAACTGCGTTGTTGTGTTACATTATCACCCAAAAATGGGCTCCATTAGATTTATCAGGCCTCGGCTCTGAAAAGATAAATCATTTAGACTATGATTGTTTGATTTAAACTGTTTGTTTCACAATAAAAAAGGCTGTAAACACAGGAAATGATTCATTATGTTCAGTTTAAAGCTTCAGCAGTGTTATTATCTGTGAGTTATGATCTGCTCCACTTCACACTGGCCTGTTTTCAGACACATTTCTCTGCTCACAGTGAAGAGTTGACAATCAAAGAACAAAACAACACAATTAAGTCCAATTATGATGACAAATACTCTGAGAGCTGGAACAGAAACAACTGTGTGACAGCTGAATGCATGCTGCAGCTTGAAGAAGCTGAAACTGAATTACCAAAGTTAAAACAAGCAAAACAGTAGCTAAAAACTTAAATTAGCACAAAAGCTAGGATTAGTAACATTGAAACTTCATAAAACAGTAGCTAAAACTAGTATAAAAGCTAAGATTAGCAACACTTAGTCATTAAATTAGAATTAGCACAACAGCTAAAAGCCACAAACATCAGCCAAAGTGTGTGGGTGAAACTCTGACATGCACAGACCACAGTTTCCTGTTAGTGGGACCAGTCTTGTTCTTTAAGACCCTGTGTGGGTCTGAGGTGATCAAGTCTTTCAACCGCAGAGTGAGTTTATTAAAACCATGTTGTCTTCAGGGTTTATGGGGTGTTTTGTGGTCTTTTCATTGTGCAGAATCCTAAAGCCTGGAAACTGTTTAACATAAAGAAAAGCAGAAAAAAATGAAGTCTCTTCGGTCCTCATGTTGTTGAATGTAATAATAATATTAAAGGTATTATTATGAAGGGTCACATGTAATGAAGGAGGTTTTTGTAGGTCTGTGGGACAGAGGAGGAGGCTGTCTTTAGATCTTTGTAACTTTATTGACAAATATTTTCCCCATGCAAAACTATATTGAGATCTCTAAACTATTTTAAAAACTGTTTCTAAAACATATTTTGGCATACATGCTCTAATTTAGTCTTTTAGCTAGGATTCTGCTGCTGTTAGCTTTTAGCATTACATTTGTTTTAGCTTTAGGCCTTTTTCTGCTAATAGCTATAAACCATCCTTTTGCTACTTTGAGCTTTAAGCCTTTTTTTGGGAACATTTTATTTATTATATCACCATATTAACAAAACAAAACTGTTGGTACTTAAATATTTAGCTATTTTTTTGATATTTATAGCCTTTAGCCATTGTTTTTAGCTTTTAGCTTGTGTTTTGCCTCTAATTAGCCTTTTCTTTGGAAACTTTTTATTTCTTATTTCACCACGAACAAAACTAAACAGTTACAGGTTTACATTTTGATACTTTTAGTATTTAGCTAGCTGTTTGATATGTTATGATTTATGTCATTGTCTTTAGCTTTTAGCTTGTATTTAGCTTCTTTTAGCCTCTAACCAGCCTTTTTTGGCCAATATTTTATGTATTATTTCACCACAAACAGGAAAAAAAACCATTTTTTAAAGTATTTGKCTCTCTGTTTGATATTTATAGATTTTAGCCATTGTCTTAACTTTTAGCTTTTAGCTTGTTTTTTGCACAAAGTTGCATTTAGCTTCTAGCTAGCATTTTGCTACTTTTAGCTAGTTTTTCTGTTTATACCTAATAATATTTATAGGTTTTAGTTAGACTTTTGTTTTTTAGCTTTTAGCTTAGAGCTCTTAGCAGTTTTTAGCTGTCATTTAGCTCTTTCTTAGCATCCACGCTGCAGTTTTCTCCAGTTTTTTGCTGTTTTTCAGCTGTTTGCTTCCATATTCTCACTTCATTCTTCCTGTCTTCTTGCAGCTCGACATGGAGAGCGACGGGCCTCAGCCCCTCGTTTAGCTTCTGATCCACGAGCCTGCGTCGCCCACAGGGCAGCTCTCAGGTCCGGCTGCTTGCTGCTCTCGCAGAATGAACATGCTGAAGTCCAGCGGGCTGAAAATCCCCGGCCGTGGGGCCAAACATTCCAGCCCAGTGGGAAGAACCTCCGTGGGCGGAACATCCAGCCCTGTCGCCCCTAAAGACAGTAAGTTAGTCACTTCCTGTTCCTGCCTCGCTGCTTCTTTCTTCTCATCAGTGGAACACATCATTTATTTGTGCAGCTGTTTCTCATCATTTATAAAAACATTTCATGAACCAGTATTTGACTGAAATTCAGACGGTAATTAATGGAACTTAATTGAAGGTGACCACCACAGCTAGCTGACCTTAGCAAACAGGTGTTGGGTTAAATTTAATCATGTTTATTTGGTGTTTTTCAGCTCAATATTGTGTTTTTTTTTACCCACAACTCTAGTTAGTTTACCAGGACTGATTAGAATATCTGCAGTTTTATGCTTCAAATGTGGATCTGGAATAAAGAGACGCATTGTGCATAAATTATTTTACTGAACAGACGGCGAAACCACTGGATAAATCATTTACGAACACTGCTGCACAAAATTACAACCTCTCTGTTCGCACTAAATAATCACAGCTGTTTCTAAACCTTAAACTCAATCACGCTGTTTTTTTTTCTTCTCACCACATGCGTGTAGCTCGGTTTGGGCTAAATTATAGCTTTACGCTCAGCCGAAGTGAGCAGAAGACATGAAAAACAACCTTCCTTCGGCTGATAGTGTCTCATTAGCATCAGGGTGTGCAGGAGGCTTTAAATAGGCTGATTGTGGAATTTCATTCGAGCAGCAAGTTGCAGATTGTTTTATCAACCTTACTTAATACTTTGCTGCTAAAATGTCCCTTTAGAAAGTTATTTTGTATGTGTTGTTGGGGCTGGAGGTCATTTCTGTGCCAGAGCTCAAAGTGTCYGAATTCATCCTGAAAGCGTCCATTAGCAGCTCTAAAAGCTAATCCTTTAATGTTGTGTTCAGGACTGTTGCCCCGGGCTCTTCAGCTGTTTGTTTGGCTCCTTTAAACTCCTCTCCAGTTTATAAGTTTATACTGGCCGACTCCATCAGAAACACACAAATTCACCCTCATCCACTTTATTCTCCACAGCAAATAAGCTTTAATTAATGCTGCTTTAAATTCCCACTGTTGTTTTTATTTCTGTAATTAAATTCTAAAGGAATAGCTTGTCGAATTGATTTATAATTCAGTTTTATTGATCAAAACATGTTTTTTAAATATAAATATGTGACCATCACATCGAAACGAGGATTAAGTCTAAAAGTGGGATATAGAGAAATAGGCAAACAGTGTTTGGATTAAAACGTTTGCAAAAATTGCATTTTGTCAAAACATAATGAGTTAATGTTTTATCAATGTTTCATTTGAATGAACTGTCTGAAATATAATCAAAACAAATTTTTGAAGCACTTTTTTGAGCAGTAGCAACAAAAAAATGATTTTTTTGGAAAAACACCTTAATTTTTGAGATTTTCCCTGTGAGCTAGCAAAGTTTTTTTTTCAGCTGGGAAATCTCAATATTCAAATATAATTTAAGGACATCAAAAAAATCCTCATTAACCT